TCTTGGAGAAGTCACTCAACTTTGAAAATGTGTAAATGTCACTGAAAGAGAAGCATAAATTGACTGTGTGCAGGAAGAGTCTTGAATGGTAACCTAAAAACACTGAAACCTTTCCAAGCTGAGTTTTGTATGGCAGACTTAACAGAGACACAAGAAGCCAAGACACACACACCACTCACACATAAAAAAACCATTGTACAAGGAGAGCCCTGTTATAGAAGCCAGGTGTACACTAGTCAGACTAATAAAGGCTCCTATTCCCTCTGTAATGGCTCAGTATTTCCCCTTACAGCACAGCACCACAGTGTCCAGGGCCATGTTAGGGCACCCACACAAGAGTCAGTAGGACTGCCAGGGTTGGCTCCTTACACACTTAGTCAAATATAGGATTCAATTCAATTTAATCCAGTTTTATTTGTATAGCACCAAATCACAACAAAGGTGATCTAGGACACTTTACAAAGTCTAGACCTTAGAATTATCATTTTATTATAGAGGAAAACCCAACAAAATCCCCCTTTAACAGCACTTGGCGACAGGGAGGAGGAAAAACTCCCTTTAATGGAAGAAACCTCCGACAGACCCCGGCTCTTGGTGAGCGGCCTTCTGCCTCGACCGGTTGGGGTGAGAGGATAGAGGAGACAGAAAAGAAAAGAAACAAGACACAACAAACAATAAAACACTGGGCAGGTTGATGTGGCTGGTGACTGCTCGTCAGAAACGAAGCGATAGTGTCCCTGTTGAAACCTGAAATATCAAGATGCCGACACACTGCTGAATGCAAATAATCTTCAGAGCTACAAAATGTGTGCCAAAGTGTTTAAATCAAACACCTTATCAAGATTGTGCTACAATGCAGCTGACACACTGTTTAGTGAGTTGACAACAGACAGTGAAGAGATTTTCTCCTCAGGAAATATCAATGGGAATCGTTAAAATCCATTATGTACCTCATGATATATAAGTCGTGCACACAGGAAGTCTTGTTATACCTTTAGAGGGATTCAACAAGGGCTATGACTATCAATTAATCAGCCTATTGGTCTACGAAGTGTCAGAAAAGACTACAGTTTCTTTACATTTGTCTTTAAATACAACAATTCTAGCATTTTGTACAAACACAACATCCAACATTTTGTTCTGCTGGGTCTTTTGAATTTTCTCCCTGGGATCAATTAAGTTGTATTTGATCTCTTCTTAACCTATTTGTTGATTATATTTTGTATTAATAATCTAAATCTGCAAAATAACTAAAGTTATCAAATAAATATAGTGGGATATTTGCCTCCGAACTGTGGTACAGTACAAGGTAGCAGAAAATAAAAATACTCAGGTACAAATACTTGAAGTATCACTTGTTTCTTTCCACCACAGCAGTTTATAAACCTATATGCATATTTCATGTTGTAAAATGGCTTTGAAATATATCAAGTAGTGTATAATGTGGCAGGTAGGCTGTAACATTAAGACAAATTATAATTGTGTTACAGTCCTGGGCAAAACACTGCAAGAAAAAGTAAGCCAACTTACTTCTGTGTTAAAAGGAAATGTCAAAATTAAAGTTATAAAACACCACAATTAAAAAGTCAAACGTTATACACATTATTTGCCATGAAATGCACCTTGCATTAGAGTCTGCACTTATATTCATTCTTGCATCTATCCTGTACACAACTGGCTGTCATATCGTCTTTCACGTCACGACTGGCTAAATCACAGCCCTTGTTGAATTTCTATTGAAGGAGCTGCAAAGAACCACAGTTGTCTGTAGGGCAGCTCTGTCCACCGGCCTCCTGTCACCTGCAACAGCTTGTTTCTGAGGCAGAGACTGAAAGGAAACATGAGAAATTATCCAAGAGGGCCCAATCAGAGGGTGGTGATAACTTCCGCTGCATATTGGTTAACAGCAAGGATGCACCAGGGATCGTACTGCATGTACCTGGTGATGTGACATAATACTGCATACATTTTCTAAACCTCAGTAAATATGGAAGTAACACAGAAATGTTACAGGACAATCATATTCTCCCCTTTTCCACATTTGCTGCTGAGAAACACCAGTCAAGCTTTGTCAGCTACAAAACTGAAAGCTCACTAAGATGTTTCCTGTCCAGAAATGACCATTTATGGTAGCACCCCAGTTACTGCAAGCAGCTGACTTTAAACTTTACAAGGAGACATTAAAGTTCTCCCTGATCCGAACATGGCAGGAAATGATTCTCTAATGAAACAGCCCAAAGGAAAATCTATTTCTATAACACTATCTGGAAGCTCACATGCACAAATGCATGCAAACAAGCACAGACAGACATATAAACATGTGTTTATTGTACTGTGCACTCACTATGCCCTGCAGCAGGGGTTATTAAATATCTTGTTACTGGCCTCTGGATCTGGAAGCCATCCTTCATCCACTCCAGAGCAGTAGAATACAACAACAAAGACAGTGTCAGCACTGCCACCAAAACCTCGTAAACATCTGAAGTGAGCACTGAGGCAGAAGGTGCTAAGATTACAAGACATTAGATATGACTGAGTTTGGCATCACACAGCAAGTCACACAAACAACCCCCTCCTGTCAAAGCCTAATACAAAGACAACACACATGCTTCAGTGGAGACAAGAGAGCTCCTTAACACATTCTGACTGACTGCCCAGACCAAATGGAGGACACACACATGCAGGCATATTGAATGCACACAAAGCCACAAGGACACACATTACGACAGGAAACAAAGCACTTGCCTCTTCTTAACTGTCCAACCTGACGAATGTTAAGTGAAAGTTCAAACTGCAATATAACACAGGAACTGTCTTAGTAAAGTAGCAGCGGTGTCTGTTGATCTATCATTATCTAATCACTTGACATTTCTTTGTGTTCGCTGATTCCTATAATTACTGTGCCAACACCACAGGAAATGCCATCACCAGCTCTAAGTGGAGGAAGACCCCAGGTGCCCTATTTGTGGGTATAATTACCTGGGTGATGGAGCACACTAATCAGGGTGACTGTTTAACATCTGTGTGTGTGTTTGTATTTTTCTGTGTGCATGTTGAACTGGGTCAGCATCACCTTAAGTTCTCCAGCATCTCTGACCAATATGGAGAACTTCCTTCCTGTTGATTCAACCGAGCAACGAAGAGAAAACCACAAGCATGACGTAGATGAGTTTATAAAGTATCTACAGGGAGTGCACACAAAGACAGCAAAGAGTCAAGTTTTTAAGGGAGCGTGTAGTACTGATGAAGTGCTGATGTACATTCAGAGGACTGCATGGCTGCCATCACCTCTGTGGTAAACAGCTGTGGACACAGTGGGTTATAAACAACCTATATTTTGGTTTCCTTTAAAAGTAAACTAATTTTACCAAAAGGAAGAAACATGACTTCCTCCACAGGAGTTCTGCCTTTCACACAAGGTTACTGTGCGAGTCTTTGTACGTTGCCTTGAGTACAGGCAGCCTCACCGTAAACACCAACTTATTATGTTTATAGCTTGACTGACAGTTTGTGATTAACATTTTTCATTGAGGCTTTGACAGAGGTGCTGATTCAGTTCTTTTTTAATTCTTATTTAACACTGTAAAGCTTTAGCAAATTAAAGCTCTTTGCACCTGTAGTATTATGGGCACTGACCATTAGGCATGCTTTAAAAACTGGTAAAAGCTTATGGCTGTAGAACAGTGGTGAAGTTGCTACATATTGGCTCTTAATGACCTGTGTAGCAGTACTACTGCTTTTGTTCTTTCAAAGTCCTGTTTCATTTAGTGTTTTGTTCATCATACAGTATGTACCATATATGTAAAAGTACCCCACTTCAAGGGCAGCGAGATTTGGGAATCCAGTACCAGCAGAGACACTGTAGATATCGAGAAGTCACACTTTAGTTACACATTAAAAATAAATCCATGATATTTGAGAAGCCTGTTTCTACACTGTAACATATCTGAGGATAAGACCACTGTGGCACCGGTGACACCCTAAATGATCCAGGTAATGCAAGCACAGGCACTATACTACAGCATATACATGAGCCAGACCCTGTTGCTGCTCGGCGCACCACCATCTCATTGATCTGGGGCAAAAGGTCATTGATTAGACTGAGTCTCCCAGTTTCTAGGCAATGCCACAGTGTCTGCCACACACTCAGTTGGACTCACACAGCTGCTGCCAGTTGTCATGGAAACACTCAGACTCCCCGCTCCTTAAGACAGCTCCCTAGTCAACTAAATTATAGTGTGCCAAAAAAAAAAAAAGCCTAAGCAACTGAATACAAACACAGCAGCAGTGAAGAATTCAGAAAATACACAGACTCCCTGTGCAATCAGATAAATCACCACTGAAGCCACTGCTCACAGCCATTTGATGACATCGAGCTGATGGTCATCACTATCACTTTAATACAACCTCGGCCGCTCCTTCAGTGAGCATGTATCAAATGGAAGCTGCACAATTTCTGAGGAGAAATGATCTGAGTGTCGTATTACTGAAAAGCCATCACAGGAGCCATGAGCTGAAAAAAAAAAGAAGCATTGACACTGCTCCCTGCTCATTACATTAGTCACCACACAAGAAGCCAGAGGGCTCAGCTCACTCCTGAGTTTTTGCTGTAGTAAAAACTAAACAAACTAAAACCAAAACACATGCACAGTCTAACTCCACAATTCCCTGAAAAAGAAGCACTGTGAGAACCCAAGAACGAAGCAGAAAATAGTCTACATTCTCAATAAAACATGAAGACTGACATATATATTTCAGAGGGCAGCGAGTGTCAGCCCACAACAGACAGTTGCAAACACATACACCCAAACTTGACCCATTCAGAGGACTGGAGGAAAACGTAGTTTGTAAAAGAGCAGCACCTGCTACACAGACACATTAAGATACATATAAGCCAAAGGCAGAACACATCTATATTCCTTTATATATACATGTATTCCTACATATAAAGGCTACATATAAATCTACTCCAGAGAAACCATAAAGTACCATTAACTCACCAGCTATACTCAGTTTGCCATCAGCCTTCAATGTTTTTACTCTCTGTATGAAACAGATCTTATCATCTCCTGCTGTGTCAAATAAACAAACAACAAAAGTTAAACAATTTAGTCCGATGTAGCCCAGCGCCAAGCCAGGGGGAGGTTGTCTGGGAGCCTGGATGTTTTAGTGCTCTCAGGGAGACAGCATGACTGCTACTAACTACTCCTGTTCCCTCATCGACTTCCTCTAACCACCAGAGTGCCGCTGCCTCTTCTCATTCTTTCCTCCCTTTCCTCCTCCTCCCCCTCCCCACAGCTCTCCAAACGCACCGACTCTGACCCAAAAAAATGTGCTCCTCCTGTCCTGCACGCTCCCCGTCCTGATCCCCGCATCATTCAGAGCGGCGGACTAAACAATACCTCCGCCGCTGCCACTCTGAAAGGAACCCAGAAGCCGTTCTCAGCCGGCAATAATGCCTCCCAACTGTCACCATGGAAACTAATGACGGCCAGGGCTAGGAGGAGGGAGGTGGGGGGTGAAGCAAGAGAGAGGAGTGGAGGAGGGAGAGAGGAAAAGAAGTGGCTAAGTGAAAGATGGGGGAAGTGTGTAAGTATCAGTGGGTGTGCCTGCACAGTTGTTGTATGAGTGTGTGTGAGGATATGAGTAAAGGTTTTGGGGGATATCCTGCAGTCTGCTACAGAGGAGCAGTGTTCTTTGGAAGCCTGCAATTAATTATTCTCATTATTAATTCATCATTTAGTCTATAGAATATCACAAAACAGTGAAAAATACACACAGCTCCCTTCATATTGCTTCTTTTACTGAGCCAACAGTTCAAAACTCAAAAGCATTTAGTTTTTTTTACACCAATATACAAAACTGAAGCCAGTAAATGCTCAGATTTAAGAAGCTAAAACTTACAAATGATTGGAAGTTTTACTGTAGAATGACTGATTGGACTGATCAGTCATCTCAGGTGTTAACTCGCTTTGCTTTTGCGCAAATAATGATACAAAACAGAAAAGCAACAAATCTAAGCATCTAAGACCAAAAATGCAAACAATTATCAAAAAGTTTTCATTTGTATTTCTGATGTGTAATATGGACGCCGTAGTATCTGCTGGGGGGCCACTTTACCACACGTCTCTGGAGAGTACATCCTTGTCTCTCTGTGACTTCCCCCCACAGACATGGATGACGCGCCCAAGCCGCTCCAGCCCTCTTCATATGCACATATAGTTACAACGCCCTCTCCATATCACCCCACTCAATAGTTGGGGTGACACAGCCCTGAAAGTCGGGGTGACATTGCCTGACACCAGCTCTGAACCCACAGATGAATGCCACAGATAACCATGGAAACACTGCTGGAATATCCCCAATTCCAAAACGATAACAGCTCTTTAAAGCTAGGTGTGAGTGTGAGAAAAAGAGTGGAAAAGAGAGAGAACATTTGGAGGGGGATGGGTGGCTGTGTTCCATTTAGATTCAGGAAACAGCAGCTTTAAAATTGAAGGTGAGCTTGAGAGTGGGATAAAACAGGGCCTGATCGATCCTCTTGTCCTCCTGTTGAGCCAGCAATGATAACTACATCCTCCTGAGCAAACCCCCTAACCTCCGGCGGCTCATTCTAGGCCACCTCTTGCTCAACTGATTGAAATTCTCAACACAATGAATTATGCATCACATTGGACAGGGGAACAGGTGCTGCTCTCCACGGCAATAAGGCTGGCTGCTCAACCCGGGAGCATATTCTCACATTCTCACGTGAGAGTAAGATGAGATGGAGACTCAGTGGTGTTGCCACCCTCAGGGACAATCCAAAGAAGGGGAAAAACCCATTTCACATAAGAATAGAGCTTCGCCTTTGTGGGTTATCTAATGAGGCATGGTGCCCCTCTTTACACCAAAGAGAGGAATGTGAGCGGTGGGTTAGCGAAGAATGTTGAAACCTCTCACCATCTTGTTACCTCATATGGCAGAGATCTGAAGAAGGCTTCAAAAGGGGCAACTGGAAGATTTAGATTTACTTTTTATAGCTTGGAATTAATCCAAAAAAAAAAACAGAGGTGGATTCACTTACAAAGAACAGAGGAAATGAACCAAGCTGGCACTGTTTTCTGTCACCCTCTAACACTCACACTAAGTACAGCAATGATCTCTCTGTTCACAAAGAAAAAACTGGGTGTGATTATTCACTCTCTCTGTCACACACAAACCCTCTGGAATATTGTCGGCTAATACTAGTCTAAATCTTCTCTGCTTTACTTCACCAAAGTAAGTCACACATCTGGCCAATAAGGTCACCAACCGCACACACTCCCTTTCGCTTTCATCCCTGTGTAACTCAGAGAGCTAAACACATGGAAAACACCAGTCATCACCTGGTTCATGAAAAATAAGGAGCTTGTTTTCCCTCTTGTTAATACAGGACCAAGGGCAGTCATTGCCACACATTAACCTGAAAAAGATTTTATCAAATTTAATAGAACAATTTATTTCAGCCACTGAGACAGGGCCAACAAAACGTGCGTCTATACAGTATTTGCTCTGTTGGTTATGGATTATGCACTCACTCAATAAAAAATGCAAAACAACAGGCATGAGCCTTGTTTGAAAACACAGCAGATCACTGTCAACTGGCTTTCAAAAGCCAGTGCTGAATCTGATCTTCACAGACACAGATGCCACATCTTCCCTCTCTATATCTCGCTGTGGTCTATCGCAAGCACCCTGTGGACGTCGACCTGTTAGAGCCAGATGGGACTCGATACAGAAAACTTTACAGATAACAGAATAGCTTTCAAATAGCTCAGATCCATCAGTGGGTTGATGCCACTGCACACTTGGTTCGGCTGCGGCGACATGCACCCTGCGGATGAAAGCTGGAAGGAGGACACTGGGCTGTTGTCATGGAGACAGTTCACATTCCACAGCATGTTGACCTGACTCCGGGATTTTTGCAAAAAGCCCCCACTCAGAAAGACAACACACGCATATGAATAAATCTACACAGGCCACTCAGGCTAACACACACACACACACACCACACACGTCACACATCACAAGCTTAGGCTAGGAAAATTAATAACCTCTATGTTCACACATCTCTGAAGGTCTTGGAGTGCCAGCAAGACACAACAACCAGACAAAGCTCGGTAGAAGACAGAGGGCGAGAAAGGACACAGCTAATGCAGCTGGAATCTTCCTGTGTTACTGACACACATTCATGTTGACTCACCAAGCCCATGGATCAGCTTTCTCCGAGGGGAAAGGCACTCACAAAGATTCAAAACAAAAATCAATTAGAGCTTTTACAAGGAAATAAGATTAGATTACAGTTCTGAATGAAGACAGGTGATCTTAAGTGTCAGATTTAATAGGGATGCCTCTTTTGACCTTGAAGAGAAGTATCTTTAATGGTTAATCCAAGATATGTCTGCTCAAATAATGACCTTGACAGCAACCCAACACAGCTATCCTCCCTGTCTTAGCAGCAAAGTCTCTCTTAAAAGATGAAGCCATTAATATTTCACCCAGAGGAGAAGCTTTTAATACATTATTAGCTTTTAAACCTATCTGCTGGAGTAGAGAGATCTTTTCAAATACTACAGAGGCCAGGGCCTAGCAGTGCTGACCGCTGGTGGTAAGATCTAGAAATGTTATTTCTGAAACTGCTATCCTGTAACAAACAAATCCACAGGTAGTTTGTGCCAGCAGGTTGTTATGACTAGTGACTGTAGTAATTATGACACCAGTAAAGGAGAAAGTTGGGTTACGATGTAGACATAAGATGAATGGGTCAGAAAACAGGACCATTGTTCAGTTTCTGTGTAAAATGTTTGTTTTTTTAAATCCATGACCATTCTACCATCGAAGCCATGTGATTATTATTGCATCCATGACAACAAAGGTTATTTTAACTCAAACCGTGTCCTTTTCTAAACCAAAGCAAGTTGTTTTTGTTCCTGAACCTAATAAAACAAATTTCATAAGTGCAACAGTGTACACTTGCTGGTGGAAGGGTTGTATGTACCATATGGTTGTTACCATGACAACAAAAGTGTGGTAAGCATGCAGCTGGACGTGTCCTATGGGTCATATTCTAACAAAGGGACAAATGCCATATATTGTTGTTTAGGTTGGAGGACTTGTTTTTTTGTGCACTGGTCCCATTCTGTCTGTGGGAGGAAGGAGAAAAGAAAATACCACCTCTCTGAAGAGCGAAACAAAAAGATCCTAACAGGATTATGCTACCCTACCCAGCCCAAAACACTAATTACTGCAATAAACAATGTTTTATTTTTAAGATGAACAAGATGATTTTTGGAAGAAAGGATTTTGTGCACAAGCAGCACAAGTACAAGCAGACGCATCGACTTTACGTTGACTTGGTCACCATCCAGTCCAGAGGGTCTCCAATGGCAAGTCTGGAACAAATCCTACTGGGCATAGTTGCCAAAAATAACAGATGCTGACTGATGTTAAAGATTTGACCTTCCTCCATCTGTACAATGCTCCAAACAAGGCATGTGGAAATTTATACAGAACAGACAGACAGACCACTATTTGTCATCATAAGTCTACTGTGCGTGCAGTGTTTACTGTGCCACAAAGGTTAAATCTGATTATTGCTTTAATTCAATACACCCTCACTGGGAGCGTCTTTGCTGATGTGCACCAGCTCAACACATAATGCTCGCTGGAATAATTATAGTACAGTTACAACTCAAACATCTTTATAATATGATCTGTTTTTCACAGTCCTGTAACTATTAAACCAGCAGGGCAGGTTTTTGAGCTCTTGTGCGGCCCCTCAGACGAGATGAGCACAGAGTCCAGCAATGAGTAAAGCAATATTAGAAACAGCAGACCAACACAGTGCACATGTTACTCAGTGTGGATCCCTGTAAGGGGGGATTACTGGAAAATGCAAACTAATGATCACAATCAGATTCAGCTGTACAGGCCAGGTGTGTTGAACACATGAGGAAGTTGACTCTGGTACATTGGCAACAAGATAAGACTGAAAGAACAAGAAAAGAAAAAGAATGTGTAAACATGAAAAAGGATTGTGCATTAGAAAAATAAAAATGAAGTACTTATAGAAGTATACACACACCGTTTAGAGTTTTTCAGATAGATATATACAAAGGCAAAGCAGTCCTATTTCCATACA